CCCCCCCAACCTGGCGGGATGGGAAGCCTTTGGCCCGAGTGAGGAAAAATCAATCAGATTACAAATGATTACAATTTATTTTTGGTAAAATCTCATTTTGTAAAACATACTTAGGAGGCAGCGGGCCCGCGCGGAGGCAGCTAATCAGGGCGGTCACCCCGGAGGGCGCCAGATGGTGAGATCGGCCGTCGTAAGTTGAATGAGCACGCGGGAGAGAGAGAGGTCCCCGCTGTGGGATGACGGCGTCAGCATGTAACAAGTGCAGCATTATTATTGTTGTAGTCATTTGCCGTGCTGTGCAATAATGTGACAACATGTAATGGGATATTGTGATTGTTGCTATGGATGGGGGAGGGGGGGCGACACGTCTCTTTAAAGCAGAACTCCGGCCTTATCTTTCGTCGGTTGTACCGTCTCCTCCCCTGGTCTCACTATACATGAGTACATCTCACCCTACACGAGTACAACTCACCCTACATGAGTACAACTCACCCTACATGAGTACAACTCACCCTACGTGAGTACATCTCGCCCTACGTGAGTACATCTCGCCCTACGTGAGTACATCTCGCCCTACGTGAGTACATCTCGCCCTACGTGAGTACATCTCGCCCTACCTGAGTACATCTCACCCTACATGAGTACATCTCGCCCTACATGAGTACATCTCGCCCTACATGAGTACATCTCGCCTTACATGAGTACATCTCGCCCTACATGAGTACATCTCGCCCTACGTGAGTACATCTCGCCCTACGTGAGTACATCTCACCCTACGTGAGTACATCTCGCCCTACCTGAGTACATCTCGCCCTACCTGAGTACATCTCGCCGTACATGAGTACATCTCGCCGTACGTGAGTACATCTCGCCGTACGTGAGTACATCTCGCCCTACGTGAGTACATCTCGCCCTACGTGAGTACATCTCGCCCTACGTGAGTACATCTCGCCGTACATGAGTACATCTCGCCCTACATGAGTACATCTCGCCCCACGCGAGTACAACTCACCCCACGCGAGTACAACTCACCCCACGCGAGTACAACTCACCCTACATGTTACTATCTGATGATGCAACCTCCTTTTATGTAATATGGGGACCGATGTACACTGTATGTTGACTTTGTACCCAATCAGATTAGGCCTCATACCAGATGTTTGGTGGATGTATAGGAGGTTGTACAGCGTGTGTGGAGCGTTAGATGGATGTAAACAATTTGAGTCCACGTCCTTCTTCTCCTGTCCAGGTGGAGTTAATTCGGAGAGATTATGTGGCCAATGGCGGCTGGGAGACCTTCCTGTCCTACGAGGACCCAGAGCAGGACATTCTCATCGGCCTTCTACGTCTACGGAAGTCCTCTCCGGAATCATTCAGACCCGAGCTGAAGGGAGGAGTGTCCATTGTGCGAGAGCTTCACGTCTACGGCAGCGTGGTGCCCATCAGCAGCCGGGACCCGTCCAAGTTCCAGCACCAGGTGAGGGGAGAGCGATCATCATGTGTGCCGCCATAATAGAGAATGGACCGCCTTGTGCCCTGCACTTGCCCGCCGTCTGCCCTGCATTTGCCCGCCATCTGCCCTGCATTTGCCCGCCATCTGCCCTGCACTTGCCCGCCATCTGCCCTGCACTTGCCCGCCCTCTGCCCTGCACTTGCTCGCCTTCTGCCCTGCACTTGCCCGCCGTCTGCCCTGCACTTGCTCGCCTTCTGCCCTGCACTTGCCCGCCGTCTGCCCTGCACTTGCTCGCCTTCTGCCCTGCACTTGCCCGCCCTCTGCCCTGCACTTGCCCGCCCTCTGCCCTGCACTTGCCCGCCCTCTGCCCTGCACTTGCCCGCCCTCCAGGTCCCTCTCAGTAGGACCTCCGCAGTAACGTTGTCCTGTCTGTCTGCCCTCAGGGATTCGGGATGTTGCTGATGGAAGAAGCGGAGAGGATAGCACGGGACGAGCACGGCTCCTGGAAGATCGCGGTCATATCAGGTGAGTGTTCACGTCTGATCATCTACCAGGAACCTCATCGTTGTCTGTGGTGTATATACATTATATTGCTGAGAGAACGGGTCGCTCTCAGGAGCTCAGTGACTACAAGCGTGGTACCGTGATAGGTTGTCACCTGTGCAATAAGTCCGTCCGTGACATTTCCCGGCTACTAAATATTCCGCGGTCACCTGTTACTGGGATTATAACAAAGTGGAAGCAACCGGGAACAACAGCAACTCAGCCAGGAAGTGGTCGGCCACGTCACATGACGGAGCGGGGTCAGCGCATGCTGAAGCGCACAGTGCGCAGAAGTCGCCAACTGTCTGCAGAGTCAATAGCTACAGACCTCCAAACTCCGTGCGGCCTTCAGATTGGCGCAACAACAGTGCGTAGAGAGCTTCATGGAATGGGGGCCGAGCAGCTGCATCCAAGCCGCACATCACCAAGTGCAATGCAAAGCGTGGGATGCCGCGGTGTAAAGACTGCAGACATGATACAGGAGATGGTCAGAGACTGCAGACATGATACAGGAGATGGTCAGAGACTGCAGACATGATACAGGAGATGGTCAGAGACTGCAGACATGATACAGGAGATGGTCAGAGACTGCAGACATGGTACAGGAGATGATCAGAGACTGCGGACAGAACAGAGACGGCTTTGGCCGCCAGTCATTTGTAATGCGGGGGATTCCGCCATAATGGAGTCTTTGTGTTTCAGTGACCACACAATGGCGGGTTCGGTCAGCCTGCTAAGCTGCCGCTTATATGTGCAAAGAGCGCAACCCGCGCCGCCCGATTTTATAAATCCCGCCATGGGGAGCCCACGCAGAGGACGGAGATAAAACCAGCGATTGGCTCAGGATGGAGGATCCGGATTAATGGTATCAAGAGGATCAGCCGTCATCCCGTGTCCCCAGAGAGGAGAGGGGCCCCTCACTGCTGTGTGGTGACAACCTACAGGATGCCGTTCATGTGCCCTGAAGGGGAAAATGAATGCGGACGCCGGCCAGGGAGAGAAGCCAGAGTGTCAGTCTCCCCTCCCCCAGTGATCGGTCTGCTGCAGGCAGGAGGAAGCATTTCCTCAGTCTCCCCTCCCCCCACTGATCAGTCTGTAACTTTGCATCCAGTCACAAGGTGAGAGGCTGCAGCAGGGGGCTGATCCGTGTCAGACATTTGTAAACACAGGCACCAGGATTTACATGCTTGTGTCCTCTGAGCAAGGCTTCAGCTGGATATTTCTGGTTAATATTCCGGCACGGCTATAATAAATCAGGAATGCCGGTGATATCACCTGGGGGCCGGCGGCGGCGACTCTCCTGTCACTCTCCATCCTCGGCGTTGATATAATTGGCGGGTAAATTGCTTGGTTATTATATTGATGAGTCGCAGATAAATAATTGTTATTGATCGACGAGCTTTAATCTTCTCCTTGTCTGTCTCAATGCGATCCCGTCACCCGAAGGCTCCCGCAGGAGGACTCCCGGCTGTGACTGTGCGCCCGGCTCCAGCTTGAGGTCACATGACACATCCTACGTGTGTGTGTATGACGCAAGAAGAGGGGTGGCAAGGCATGCTGGGAGTTGTAGTTTCACATCGGCCCGGAAGGGAAGGAGATCATGGCAGCTTTCCATCGGGTGAGATTTAAAGGGATTGTCCAGCTGTAGCTGAGCTGGGCTTTTGGGCAGCTCATTCGGCTTGGTCTGTGGGAGGAAGTTCTTCACGGTCGCACGTTGTTGTCTGCAGACGGGCGATGGAGTTTGTTTTGCGCCGTTGCAGAATAATTGTCCTGCGTCTCTCTCTGTACTCGCCGGTGACGCCGCAGCATTTAATGACTCTGAACTTTTAACATTCTGTGCGCAGGATTCGTATTTATAGAAAAGGACAAAACGCATCCGAAGAAGAAACCGACCAAACAAAGAACTTGGGACAATATAAGCTAATTTACCATAATAATGATACTTTGCTGCGCTCACCTTCGGCTCCCCTGGAACACCGGCGAGAGTTTCTGAAGCGGAGCGGCAGGATTGTGATTGGGTATAATTAGACAGCGGAACAGCCATGCTATCTGCACCTTGTAGGCGAAACGCGTCGGGGGAAGAAACTTACAAATACAGCGTCCGCAGGCTTTTAGATTAAATTATATAGAGAATTGTACATTGTGTCGGATATAACCACAGTGGGGGAGGGACACTCCGTGTTTTATATATCTATATTTAGTGGCCGGGTTAACTCGATGTAACCATTTAGATTCAATTTTCGGGATTGTTGTATTTAACTCAAATTTTCTTTTATAATGAATATCATTACGCGGGATTGTTCTGTAGCGCCGACGTTGCCGGCATATCGCTTTGCAAAAGAACGGGAGATGGTTCACCTAAGCAACCGCTCAGTGTCTGCAACCCCCCTCTGCTCGGCTTCCAATAGCCCAAAGGATGAAATTCAAAATATTAACAGCCGCTTACAAAGCCGACCACAACTCCGCCCCCGGATACATCTCAGACCTTGTCTCAAAGTATCACCCTAACCGCCCCCTCCGCTCTTCCCTAGACCTCCTGCTTTCCAGCTCCCTCGTCAACTCCCATACTCTTTACCCCAACCTGTCCGTCTGTCTCCCACCCTGACTGGCTTTAGGCGATCCTTAAGACTCATCTCTTCAGGGAAGCCGATCCCACCTCAACCTGACCACTGAACCATCACATTCTCAAACAATTCATCCCCCACACAGCTCCCTCCTCGTGTATCACTGGCCCCTCCCTCTTAGATTGTAAGCCCTCAGGGGCGGGGCCCTCCTCACCATCTTGTCTTGAATTGTATTGTGACTGTAATGTCTTCCTTATATTGTACAGCGCTGCGCACACTGTTGGCGCTATACAAATCCTGTATAATAATAATAGTTCAGTTACAACACAATACAGGAGGGTTAGGAGGGCCCCGCTCCTAAGAGCTTACTATCTAAAAGGTGATGATAAAGCGGATGACATTTTGTGGATGAAGGCGCCACACCAACGAAGAGGAGTCCAGAATCATGTTATTGATAGCGATATAAAAGCATCAAAGAGTCAACGCGTTTCTGGGGCGAACAACAATCCCTCTTCATCAGGGTTGGGAAAGGAGAGGAGCGCTGCCCGGTCCCTTTACATGGTCACATTCGACGGTCACTATCACTGGTTTCTTCTCGAGTCCAAGACTGATTCCCCAAAGGGATTCCTCCCTGAATAACACCTCAGGCCCTGATGAAGGGGGATTGTTGTTGGCTGTTTGATGCTTTCATGTCTTTATCAATGAAATGATTTTGGACTTTTCGTTGGGTGGCCCCCCTGAGGTCATGGTAAGCAACATACCCAATTCTCCCCAATTACTGTAGATGCTAGAAAGCCAAATAATGGACACACCCCCATAGATGCTTCGTGATGCAAGTTTAAGTTGAGGTGTAATACCTACCCCCCATCAAATTGCAATTGAACTTCTCCACCGGCACCTCTCCTTCAGATGTGGGCTAATGAGCCTGGCCACACACCCTCAGCACCTCTCCATCAGCTGTGGGCTAATGAGCCTGGCCACACACCCTCAGCACCTCTCCATCAGCTGTGGGCTAATGGGCCTGGCCATACACCCTGAGCACCTCTCCTTCAGCTGTGGGCTAATGAGCCTGGTCACACACCCTCAGCACCTCTCCATCAGCTGTGGGCTAATGAGCCTGGCCACACACCCTCAGCACCTCTCCATCAGCTGTGGGCTAATGAGCCTGGCCATACACCCTGAGCACCTCTCCTTCAGCTGTGGGCTAATGATCCTGGTCACACACCCTCAGCACCTCTCCATCAGATGTGGGCTAATGAGCCTGGTCACACACCCTCAGCACCTCTCCATCAGATGTGGGCTAATGAGCCTGGCCACACACCCTCAGCGCCGCTCCTTCATATGTGTGCTAATGAGCCTGGCCATACACCCTCAGCACCTCTCCATCAGCTGTGGGCTAATGGGCCTGGCCATAGACCCTGAGCACCTCTCCTTCAGCTGTGGGCTAATGGGCCTGGCCATACACCCTGAGCGCCTCTCCTTCAGCTGTGGGCTAATGAGCCTGGCCACACACCCTGAGCACCTCTCTATCAGCTGTGGGCTAATGAGCCTGGCCACACACCCTCAACACCTCTCCATCAGCTGTGGGCTAATGAGCCTGGCCACACACCCTCAGCACCTCTCCATCAGATGTGGGCTAATGAGCCTGGCCATACACCCTGAGCGCCTCTCCTTCAGATGTGGGCTAATGAGCCTGGCCACACACCCTCAGCGCCTCTCCTTCAGATGTGGGCTAATGAGCCTGGCCATACACCCTTAGCGCCTCTCCTTCACATTGTGGGCTAATGAGCCTGGCCATACACCCTGAGCGCCTCTCCTTCAGCTGTGGGCTAATGAGCCTGGCCACACACCCTCAGCGCCTCTCCGTCAGCTGCGGGCTAATGAATCTGGCCATACACCTCAGCCTTGGGATTGGTTAGCACCACTTTATTTGATCATCACCAGCCCAGGGCTCTGGACTTGTGATAGTCCTGTCTACACAAGCCTGTTCCTGCCTCTGTATATCTGGACCTTGTACCGTAGTCCTGCCTTGTATCGTGTAACTCTCTTGTATCTTGCTTTCTCTTTAGTTCAGTCAGTACTGCCGCTTCGCACCCAGAGGCCCCCTACGATAGTGGGGGTATATAGTCCAAGTCCTGGGGGCATCTGAGTACCGGTAGGCACGCTTGCCCTATGGGAAAGGCGGCTGCTAGAGGTGAAGAAACTCGCCGCTATACGCTCTGACCGAAGTGTCTGCGTCCAGTCACCTGACACTGGCCTTGGCGGTGAGTCCAGACCAAGCACGGGTTAATATTTTCAGAGTTCTCAGAGAAGAAAGCAGCGCTGCCAGAGCTCTGCGTGAAATCCATTTAAACCTCCAGCAATTTACTGTCCAGTGATGAGTGTGCGCACACAGCGGCGGGGTGTAAACGGCAGCTTT